TTTAAGCAGTCTGGAATGATTTGGTTTCAAGTCCGCTAGACTCCCCAGTCTGTACACCTTTAGCAAGGTGACCCCGGTGATATTTTGAGGCATGAGTTGATTAAGCAGCTGCTTAATTAGCACAATGTCATGCTCAAAACGAGATTTAGGTTCAGAGCTCCCACTCTCCTTGATTCTATGAAACATAGCTGATCAGTCACTATGATCAGCTTTCGATTTTACATCTACTTTCGCGGGGGTAAGATTACCTTTTATATCGCTACTTTTTTTCTTCCTTACAACCTGTACCTACTCGTCAACAGTGCTGGGAGAAGCAACAACAGTTGCATCAAACCTAGTGCTAGATTCCGGGGGGTTGTCGACGACCTGAGAGGTCAGGTTACGTTTACCGCTTGAAACCGATCGAGCCTTGCGATCGCGGCTTCTAGGCGTTTCCTGTGGGATCCCATCTGGGAGACGAGGAACAGAAGAACCTACTTTCCCTGAGCTTTTGTTTAAGGCAGGCCCCATTGGAGACTGCTTTCCTTCTTTGACAGGCGTGAGTCATCTATCATCGGACTAACCTTAGTTTGCCTCATGTCGATTTGTGTGTCGACAGATCGAGTGCTGTTTGAGGTGTTCCGACTACGCTTGCTAAAACACTTCGTTGCAGCATCAACCAGTGAGATGGCCTCGGTTAACAGGCTGTTTGCATCCAAACAGCACTGTTGACAAAGCCATACACAACCTTTCTTACTGAACCGTCTGAAAGCCGCAGGCGTTAAGTTCGTGCAAAATTCGTGGTATCAGCTTTTGCACTCGTCGCACTGCATTCCACTTTCAACGGGATAACGACAACCCGGACGTTGGCAACTGCTTTTTTTACACTGTCCGGTCATTTAAAAGGAGTCCTTTTCAAAAAGGGATGAGATGCGATGATATTCAGAAACGAAAAATAATCAATGACCAAAAAGTGTAGAACTGTAGATTGTTAGGACCAAAAGTTCTAACAGATACAATTGAAAATGAGGTACTCAAGAGCACCAACGACAAAACTAATTGAGAGAACGGTAAAAACAGTACTCTAGTCGAATACTTTAACTGAAATGAATTAAATTAAAGTAAAAACAGTAGTCTTGATACGTAATAAACGATCAAAACAATGAAATATACGTATTTGAAACCCTTTTTCGTCCTTGACTTATATAATTTATTTTTTTATTTTTTTCATAATTATAAACAGGTGAACTTTCGTTTGATCATTCACAAAAAACTCATGACTGATATGCACTGAGGTAGAGTCTACGTTGACTGTAAACAATAAATCAAGTATATTATCCCCCCAACTCAGTTTTCGGACTTTTGGACCTATCTACAAAGTTCTAGTTTTTCAACTAATTTGTTGTACCAACCTGATACCGGAGTCGGACTCCATGTAATGTTTGTCAGATCAAAATCACCTCCGATGATTTTAAACGTACGTGGTTGGTGCGAAGTAATGGAAAAGATGTTTGTTATCAATCTGTCAAACTTAGTATCCACATGAGGTGGTCTGTATATACATTCTTTCAGTAAATAATTTTGGAATCCACAGTTTACAGTAACCCAAGTGGAGTCGTCTATAGCATCAAGAGATTTATCCTCAAATTTGCACGCCAGAATGTCCGAGTCGACATAGACAATTGTACCGCCTCATAATTCATGATATCTATCGGTTCGGAACAAGACATAGTTATCTACGTGCAAGAAATGATCGGATATAGATGATTGTGCACTACGGTTTCGTAATAAGTACAGTGGTTGGATTAACAAGGAATGAAAGGGTCTTGAGACGAGCAGTTTTATTAGACAGAGTGAGATTGAGAGTCATTATGGTGAAGTAAGTTAGAGTATAAATCGCAATAGGTAGTTCCATGAATACTCGTAGGATTGGCTAAGGTAAGAGTTGTGTTGCGAGGGGAAACAGGTTCAACAACTTCGTCAATCATTTGAAATATGTTTACCGTTGCCGACAGAAAAGCTGGCGGAATTGCAAAAAAGTCTTCTCACTGCTATTGGGTATAACATCTGATAAAGGCATAGTGTATATATTGGGAGCCGGACCAAGAAGGCTATTAGGTCTAGGTGTGCGACCAAGTGGCCATTTACAATTCGTATTACATTTTATACCTGATGTATGTGTAGCATGTTCCTAATGATTAGAGCTATTCTGCTTCCTTTACGCTTCTGGATTCTCTCGGCTCTTACTAACGTGAAACCTTCAAAATCAAATCCCATGCTGTCTATGGGCTGAGTCAGCCAAGTTTCTGTGACAGAATACATCCGGCTTGGTAGGGTCAATTTGTACACCTAGTTCTTATCGCTTATTCAGTAAACTCCGAGCATTTGTCTGTGCCAAAGCCTCACAACTCAAAAATATAAATCTGTTAGGTCCTTTTCTCCAGCAACTAACTTAAGTTTTTGTTCCTTTTCGGCTTCTCGTCTGCGAGTGGCAGATCCTGATCCATTTAGTTCATGTTCATTCTGTAGTATTAAGTTCCGTTCAGTGGGAGATTTAAATGCTACTTTGGGCAGCCTGGTTTGATTCTGTTTCAAGTCTGCTTGGCTACTTAGTCTATACACCTTTATCAATTTTATGCCGGATTACTTATTCTACTAAGACAACGTATAACTTGCTAACTCGGACTTTTACATTAAGGCTGTCTAGAAGGCATCGGACGGAAAAAAAGAAAAAAGAAAATCAAACAACAAAAGACATAATTATTAGTTTTCTTAACACTTTACTCTCTATATACACTTTCTGTTATAATAAACAGCCTTCCTTATTCCAACACTGACTACCCTTCCTTCATTTGATTTTACTCCACCTTGGTAAATATCATAACTCATTGTTCTTTATTACTGCATCTTCTCATCTGGAGCCTCTGATCACATTTCACTCTAGCTACAAGAGCTAGTATGAATTTAATCCAATAATTTATCATACCTCTGTCTGTTCCACTAAAAAATGTTAAGTATTGTTTATCGTTCATATCCAAATGCCCGTCTGCTCCTCGGTTTCTCATTTTTTCAGAATCTTTCTCTAAGAACACAGCTATGGAACTTCCGACATCTGGAACATACTCGACGTGCGTGTTTTCCCAAGGTCATAGTTCACACCAAGCACTCTATAAGTCTACTTTATAACAACTACAAACTTGAAAAGTCACATTGCATAAATACTTAGCACGATCAAAATCCTATCACAATTATGGATCTGGTGTGTAACGTGGACGCGACGTCACTTTGAAAAATATTTTGAGGACTACTCGGTATATCTGAAGTAATGAACTGATGTTCACTTTTATATATTTACTTAACATCAATAGTGTGAACCAATAAATGTTGTAATTTGTAGATCATGCCTGTAAAAATGGCGTGTACCTACCCTTGTAGAAATATATTGTATCTATATCTTTATCTAATACACTGTCATGCTCCAAACGAGTTTTAGGTTCTGAGCTTTCACTTGTAGTGGCACTGGATCCTAACCACAATCTTCAAAGCTCAACATGAGATAACTGGGAAAATAGACTTTAAACATGTAACCCTATTAGAAAGTCAATAATAGTGAATGCGAGAACATTGATTCGAAATTAAAATCATTGGTTGGCATGGCTCAGCCTTACAGGCGTGGTCATTCTTGCGTAACTTTTATCCATATTAAATATATCGTCCCATCTCAAGCCTAAATGTGTTCACCATAAAGTGATGATTGTTGCGGTACGATGAGTCAGTGTAGATAGTGCTGTGACTTCCACGTACGTTTTTGTAGGTTAGGCGGTCACATCATGACAAATCTACAATTTTGGGATTAGGTCTTTTATTAGAGCAGTACTAATAACGAATTAGACCATAATTCTACATACTGTCTTTGTTTCGATGAAAGTTAATCGAGCTATCACTACTAATTGGAGTGGCTTTGCTTCAATAGCATTATATCGTTTCTTTCCCTTCACCTGCACCTATTCATCAACTTTCGTTGGAGTACCAACCACAGTCGCGTCAAACACACTGTGGAATTCTGAAGGACTATCAACGACTTGAGCATTCAGGTTGTTTTTCCTTATAGAAACAGATCTAACATTGTGGTTGGGTTTCTTAGGCGTTTCCTGCTGGATACCATTTAGAGGACGGGGGACAGAAAAATTCCTTTCTTGAGTTTTTATTTGGGATGGGTCTCTTTGAAGTTGGTCTTTTCTCCTTTGGTTCATGTAAGTCAACTGTTATTAAGCTTATCTGAGGTGACTTCACACCGATTTGTGTTTCGACAGAGCGAGTACTGTCCGATATGTCTCGATCTTGTTTGCTAGTACACTTTTTCTTTAGCAGCATTTACCATTGGGATGGCCTCGGTTAGCAATCTATTCTCATCTGGGCAGCACTGTTGACAAAACCACATGCAACCATTTTTACTAAACCGTTTGAAAGCCACAGGCGTTAGATTAAGGCAAACCATATTTTGCACTCGTCGCACTGCATGACGCTTCCAAAGGGATATTTGGAGTTGGCAGTCGCTTTTCTTGCACTGTTCTGCTATCAAAGAGAGATCTAAAAAGCTAGATTTGTTAATATGCAGAGACAAAAAATTGATGACCACAAAAGTGGAAAACTGTAAATTGTTAGGACAAAAAGTGCTAACAAATACTATAGAAAACAAAGCACTCAAAAGTACCCACGATAAAACACTTTGAAAACAAATCGATACTTTTTGCAGACAAATTAACTGAAATAAATTCAATTAAAGTGTGAACATTTGTTTTGATATGTAATAAACGACCAAAATGAAAACAATTTACTCAGCGAGGAAAAGTGCCACTGTCCTTTTTAAACCTATTAAAGTAATTATCTTGGTGACTCAAAGATCTGCAGCTACTGTGGACGAAAATCTTCGTTTCTCGCCGAAGACCACTGGACCCACTCTCTCATTGAAAATCGTAAGTGGAGGCTCTTATTTTGAAGTTTGCGCCACAGCAATGGATATGGTGAGCTGGTTTGCGGTTGTCATGTCTTGCTGTTAAACCCACACTGTTCTAGTTGATGGACAACCTCACAGTAGTTCTCTTCAGTTTAAAATATCAGCAGCGCCGAGAGGCCGCAAATTGACTGTTGTTCTTAAGAAATCAGTCCCACTGTGTTGGTGTTGGGGGGGGGGCATAAACGGGTTTAGTGGAATTGAGACTCATTTTATGTATTGAGTTAACAGTTATCCTTATTAGTAAAAAGCTGCTATCCACCTATGGCAGTGTTTCTATCTTTTGTGCACACAGATTATAGTTCCGCTGATTTATCTGGAACACGAACACGACTCTGTCTAGTATTCATGAGTTTGGTTCTTATGCATATTGATTGATATTGGGCAGTAAAAAGGTTGGTCAACACTTAATGCTTTATGTAGACTAATAGTGGGAGGAAATAAGTAATGTTTAGTAGTCATATACCCATAGGTTGTCATCAAGGATGATGTTAGGACCTAAGAAATGACGCCGAGCAACAGGTTGATAATAATTGTGTTTGAATTTGATAGTAGACGATCATATTTAGCCGTACTATTTCCCTACTGGTCAGCAAAGTGATTATCTTCAAACTGGATTATGTATTCGGTTATTCAACTGCTTTTCTTTGTTAGTATCATTCACTAAGTGTTAAATGTTATCGTTGATTACGTTCAACTTTAGTCATGCTTCTTGTCCATAAGTCTGCGTTTGATAAACTTTCTGTGCCAACGTTTGCCATCGAAAGTTTTATCCAGCAAGTATGTAGACCCGAAAGTTCTTCACTTGAACAGATTAGTTAGAACTTAGGGCAAAGTGTCAATTAAGCTGGTATTATCAGGTGGTATTCGTCTAGGGTACCTTCTATCCATTCTCGTAGTTTACAGTAAACCTCATCTAACTTTTCAAGATTTCACTTGTCGACAGAAAGTACAGTTCTGTAACCCAAATAGAAGATGTAGACAAACTTTACGGTCCTCTGTAAAATCAATGGGACTGTTACAAAGTGAAAACATGACTATTCATCTTGACCATCTATTGTGATTTCGGGTGTTTTCAAGAACCAAGCATCGTTAACTAGACTAATCTGGATACTCACTAGAGTACGAGGCAAAGTCAATCCGTGTACCGGTTTCAATGGTTGGTCATCCTAGTAAAAAACATTAATTTTCGTTAACCATATACCGTTTAGACTACAGAATTAATTAATACATTTCTTTCGTTTCCTCTAAACTATATTCTGTGTTATGTTACCACTGTCATGAGTGTTGTTACTTTAACCCTTTTGGTACTAATCTTGTAAGTTTTCTTTAAATGTTGCAACGTAAAGTGTAGCAACGTGAAAGTACACAATGGTGCTGAGTTCTTCGTCTAATCTGAACATCGCTTACTCAGTAGTCCAAATACATGTAGCTGATGCCCTAAAGACATCTTTAGTCAAATACTGATGATTTACGAAGGTTATATACTTCTAGTTTCCATGTTTCATTGCTATTAATTGAAATAAAGCGAACTTCTTCACAGTATACTCACTTCTTGGTTAACAAGTAAACATCTCTCCTGTGCTAAAGGTGATGCTGTTTGACAAAACCCAGCCAAGCTTCTATTATTAGATTGAAAACATTCTTAGCATTAAGGTACAGCCCAGTGTGCTTCCGCTGCTCCACAAGTATTTTCCAACCGATTGACAGTGAGTTTTTTTGTTTTTGTCACCACTGTCTAACTAACAACATGTATTTATCAATTTCTTTTTGTTGATTTGACACACATGTGTAGCCTGCAATTTATTCATATTCAGTGTTATTCATAACATTTCTTGGTTCTTGTTGTTTATTTGATTATTCTAATCTCTCCAAACAGTTTTTACCCGTCTCAATGATTTTATTCCAGGCCAATCCTCTTACCTCTGTCATGGATTTGATGCGGCGTCTACCGCCGCAAAAGATTAATCATACTTTGGTGGATGTAATCTCACTTAAACCAGAACACTGTGAAGATATTTTAAGCTCAGTGGACCAACCTTTAAAGATAGCGAGAGATGTCCATGCTGATCGTGATTATTTATTATGCGATTATAACCGAGATGGTGATTCTTATCGATCACCTTGGTCAAATACCTATGACCCACCACTAGAAGATGGAGCTATGCCAAGCGAAAGTCTTCGTAAACGAGAAATAGAAATTAATACAGCTTTTGATCAATACAGAGAAATGTGAGTAGTCTCATTATTAGTGAACTAAACATACCCACTAATTTACAAACCAAGTACGGCCGCTTATGTAGACGCTTAAGGAGAATTGCTGAAATGCTGTTCGAACTCTGCTCTGTTTGTTTTGGTTTAAGTATATAGATAGCATTGCTAACGGTTACGTGAAATCTGTAGCTCTAAGATGAATACTCAGCTACCGAGTTGTGCTAGAATAAACATGAATTTATTGAATACTGCAAAAATATTTATCATGAAAATGAAAACCACATTATTCGTCACGGCAAATTTCTTGAGAATCATGAATAGTCCTCTACCTTTTCTTTCTGGATGTTATCCGGGGTTACTTTACGTGAAAAGAGGTGAGTGCCGATGATTTTGCGTAGTTGACAACGAAAGGTCTACAATATGTACCATCCAGCTTGGCTTGATCAAAAGTATTTACCTTATTGGCATACCACTGGTATTTTTTTTTTATACTCAGCGTCGACAACTTCATTTATCTTAGAAGTCTTGTCAGCCCTTGTGGGTTGGTGTCTGACGAAATCTCCACATGGATTTAGAAAGCTCGTTTGGCTTTTGCCAACTTACGTCACCTATGGCGAAGGCGAGATATCTATCTATCAATTAAGGGATGACTATACTTTTCAGCAGTTCGTTTTGTTCTACTTTACGTCTGCTAAACGTGGCCATTAAGAGTAGAGGATACTCGTAAGTTACTAGTATTTAATGACCGATGTCTTAGAAATATTGCTTGCATCTAGTGGGATCACCGGGTAAGTAATAGTGATGTTAGACGCAGGGTATTAGGGAATAATGGTAGATCAGTTGATGAGGTTGTGAATCTTCATCAAATGAGATGGTTGGGCCACGTGTTACGTATGCCTGAACACCGATTACCACGTCGAGCAATGGTGACTTGTGTTGGAGACGAATGGAAGGAAGTTAGGGGTGGCCAAACCAAAACGTGGCATCAGTGTTTGAAGTCACTAACTTCTGGCCTAGGCCATGTTGATTGATGCGGACTACTTGGTTGGGATCGGTGTGACTATTGCAACCAATGGTTGAATACTTTGGGTGATATGGCTCAGAATCGATCACGATGGCTTAGGTGTATATACTCTTTGTTTCCTCTTAGACCGTGAGATCGAAATCGCTTAATATCTTTCTACGAACTATTTCCTTCTTCCTTATATGAAATGTTTTTACTACCATTGAAGTAACTGCTTCTATGAATTTGGTGTTCATCTTGTTGTGCAAATGAGGTATGGTGACTTGGATCGATGCATATATGTGCCTGGTCCTACGTTGTAAATAACTGATTGACTGTTAGCCATCACACTGAGAAATACTTACTACAGTGTGGACTATTTCAGCCCGTATTTGGTAAATAAGTTACAACTAAGGTAGGAGGAGCTAAGAGGACGACGATGAATTGTTTACTGTACCAGGCTCCAAAATATCTTCTCGTGTTGAAAAAAGCTAAGGTTTTTGGTGGTTTAATCGTCATATATTTGGTAGATGTAGGATGTTAAACAAATAACCATCTTATTAGCGTAATAACTCGATTTTAAGAAACCAAATTGAGTAGGGTTTAGAAAAGCACTGGAGGTCACATGCTTTCAACCTAGAATTTAACAATCAAATAAGGTGGACACCGTATTGCCTTGATGGCGATATGTGAAAATTTCCCTGCATTACTGAACATTTCTTGTTCTACCATTGATGTTTTATTGCTTAGATATTTATAAATACTTTTGTGTTTTTAAGTAATCTCTTCAAATCATAATCTTGATCTGCTTCTTTGTTTAATGGCTGGCTGCAAATAATCTTTAGGATTTTATAGAGAAACTACCCAAAACTACATAAATGATCGATATGGCCGATATTTTATTATTGCTTATATGAAAAGTTGATACGAATGAAAGTTTTCGTGAAATTTTTGTCCATGTTCTTTATTCAGACCTGATAATTATATTCTAGAGGTGTTATTTAGGAACAACGTTTTCCATAAGCTTTCCTCGGTCGAGTAACTTTTTTCATCATACTCTGTGTGCATAAATATAGCTTTCTTAACTCGTCTTTAGTGTGGTGGCGATCACTAACAAACATTTTGACCAGTTTACAGTTCATAGTAGCAAACCGATGCATTGGCCCGTTTAGAAGTCAGTCAGATGATAAGTGTCTGTGATTGGCCAAGAAATGATTTGCATTTCTAGAGAATAAGACACCACTGGTAGGGTAATTTTCTAATATGTTGGTTTGGCTTAGTTAATAAACTTCCTTCTCAATCAAGTTTTTTACTCGAGCGCCCAGTGAAATTCGTAGATCGGAATATTGTGTTTCAGTATCAATATCGAACACTTAACAACAGAGCGCGAACTAGGATTTCGGAATATTAGTTATAGATAATGTTAGGTTTTTTCACCAATGTATTATTAGTTGTCAGCGTTTTCTATTGAGTAGTCTGGGAATAAAAGTTTTCGACTGCACAGAATTTTTAAATCTTTGAAAGTCTCCAACTTGAATTGACGTGGAAGTAAAAACTTCTTTTGTTACGTACTTTCATGGCAATGTTTATTCTGTTAAGTTTCCATTTTCATACATTTTTTGAGACCCGTCATTTTGATTTTGTCCTCGTTTAGATCGGAAGATGTTCGTTGAAGGGCTCACCATTTTAGTGGCCAGTTGATCTGACTTCTGTTTAGAGCGTACGAATGTTTGCTATCACCTATTCTCGTATATAATTGTCGACTTAATCGCGTTAGCCAATAACGGAATTAAATAAGTCGAATAACGAGAATTGATTTGTGAATACATATATTTTGTATATGAAGTGAATGAAACAGAGCCCAGCAAAATGACGCGTATGGAAGATGGCTGAGAAGCCAACTCCATTTTAGTCGAGCGTTACTCAATATTTATAGTCAGACAAAAATAAACTACAAACATGTGATGAGTCATGGGATATGAAGTGTACACACATATACGCTCATATATAAAAACAGTCAAGACTGATAAGTGAATAATTGACAAGGTCAAAATATGACTCAAGTAGAATGAATAAAATGGAATGTCCGAAAACTAGAATATAAGATATATGGGCTTAAAATAATGACTGACACTACACATTTTAGTTAATAGTTTATTGAAATTCACTTTCTACTCGTTAGTAGCGGTTGTTTAACCATGTTTTGTATTTTATAAAATTAGGTATTATGAGGGAGGGATATCTTCAGTTTACCTATGGGATATGGACCATGGATTCGCTGGGTTATTCTGATAAAAAAAGCTGGTAATGCTAAGTTGGCTAGCGGTTGTTGGGACTCAATACATGTTATTGATGTTGTTGTAAGTTAGTGATGTGTAACTATTTATGTATTGAAGCTTTCTTTTATTTCTAATTTAGTTTAATCTTCAGTTCTTACGGTATACATCCACATAATTATCGACCAGTGGATTAGTGATTAAGTCATATGACATTCAAACAAAATAGGTCACTTACTTCGGTTTAAGAAAACAATTCGTACCACTCAGAAATCCAGCAAGACTGCCATATAAACCAGTACTTAGTATACAATTTACATTCTATAATCACGTCATGATTTATGTACCTAGTAAAAATAATTTCGACTCATCATTACTTACTTCGACAAAGCAGAAAAATTTAAAAATATTTGATACATAAGTGTCTCATTATATCTAATCTAATAATCTAACTTATATACCAAGCACAGGTTTATGTACTCAGCTTTAAGCCACATTGTTAGTGTAAGGTTTATTCACATAACTGAGACCAAAATAGGTGCAGCGGAATTTAAACCTACGATTTTTTGGGTGAAATCCGAATCATCCATCCACTTAATACCCTCTGCAAATATCACTTGCGCTACTCCATATACTCAACAAACGTATCTTTTAGTGCCCGTTTCGCAAAATGACTATTTCTCGAGAAGAATAAATTAATCCAATAGTATATTCTTGTGTTTCGTTCCCTATGTATATATACAGGGATATATAGACTATATATATTTATACATGGTTTATATAACATCTGTTTAGTGCGTCGTAAACATCATAACCAGTCATTATTTGCTGATTTGTTTACCAAATGGTAGTTATTAAATTTTTTGGTCTTATTTATGATCCAATGTGAAAACTGTCTGAATATACTAAAATAAAGAAGGAACGGATTGAGCTCAATTCGGGCATAACATGATCCAGCCTGTGTATGTATATTTTATCAATCGACCGTCCGACCTGGTTTTATCAGTCTCGGTCACCGGTCATATTACTGTCGAGCAGAAAATATTTTTACTCTCCTAATTCATCAAGCAGTAAAAAAATAATTGTATTCTCAGAATTTTATACAAATATGGTTCCTTAATTGTGTTTTTTGACTATGTTTTCATTCATTTTTAAGTGATATATTCCTGTCTTAAGCTCCAGTTATGTGTTTATTTTAGGAAAGGCCTTCCGCTAAAATATCCTTATATAAGCTTACAAGTACCGTTATGTTATGGCTTCAAACTCAACGAGAATCTGCAGGTTATTTCAATCTCGGTGGTAGTCTTTCAAGATTCAGTGAACGTGAACTTCCTTTGGGAGACTCAGGTGTTCCAATAACTACGTCACATATCGTTAATATTGGACGTATGGTAGAAGTAAGTGATATTTATTATCTAGTGAATCTATACATTGACAAGGATTACTTTTAATTAATCTCTAATTAATACATTAGTACAGTCGTACGTGTGATATCCTAAGTCTACCTGTTTCAAGTTAAATCCATTTAGCTCGAAGTATATCCTATGGGCACACCTAAGTTCACAATTTCATGGACTTAATATAGTTTTATAGGATGACAGGTATGATTTGAAGATAAGTTTAAGGCTACAATGTTGGACGTATTTGGATTGAATCTAAGAGCAAATACATACCTGTCAAGTACCATTATTAACGTAACCGAAGATTAAGACGCATTATCGTTATAAGTATTTCCTACACTTATGATTACAACTTGACAAATTTGCGATTCCCCATGATCAAATGACAAAGCTTTTTCGACATGTGAAACAACACTGATTATGTATGTATAATTTACTAACAAAATTTTTATAAAAAAATTATTATTCATCAGTTAATCTGCAAAATATCATTGTCTCGTCCTATCAAATTAACATTTGTTAGTGAGATGAACTTTCTTGAACGTGAAAATTTCCAAGAAGTTCTTTCTTCCGTTCACCTGAAAAAAGCAATTGGATAAATTCTTTCAGGATAAAATATTTTCCGTATCGACAACCTTTAGGCTATCAATTATTTGCTGTTAAAGTTTGCTAATTAGTTTGCAGCAACTATTAATTGTCAACTTAAATAAATTATGAACAACTTTGTTTTTCAGTCAGTCAGTCAGTAACAACGTAGAACTTCGTACGTACGTACATCAGTTCGAGTTGCCACACCACGTTAGCACAGAGATGCAGTGGTCGATTCAAATCCCGTAGTGGTAGAGGTAATAAGAGTATAAGCAGTAATCGGGAAGATTAGTGTTTGGAGATGTTACTTAAAGAGTATAATACAGTGAGATAAATTTGGGAAGAGAAAAAAAAAGAGACAAGGAGGAATAAGGAGATCAAAATTTGGGAGAACACAAAGAGTGGATGCACCTGCGCCATTGCAAACGATTTTGAGCCATCTCATTCAGGGTCTCTAACCATCGGTTGCTATCATCTCGCGGTCCCCAGCCAGGTAGTCTACACCTACCGACATGACTCAGACCACTTGTCAGTGACTTCATGGACTTGTGCCATGTTTTGGTCTGGTCGCCTGTAGCTTTCTTCCAACCTACTCCTACACCAGAAAACATCGCACGTCGAGGCAGTTGGTGGTTGAGCATTCGTAACACATGTCCCAGCCATCTCAGCTGATGAAGTTTCACTACTTCATCGATTGATTTTCCATCCTTACCTAGTACCCGTTTCCTAACAACTGAGTTACTTACTCGATGGTCCCAGGATATACAAGCAATGTTTCGAAGACACCTATGATCAAATACTAGTAACCTATGGATATCCTCTACTCTTACCGGTCATGTTTCACTGCCATAAAGTAGGACGGAACGAACTGCTGCGCAGTAAACACGTCCTTTGGTTGGTAGACGGATATCTCGCCTACGCCATAAATGACGCAAGTTGGAAAAAGCCAGTTGAGCCTTCTGAATCCGTGCTGAGATTTCGTCAAACACCAAACCACAAGGGCTGATGAGACTTCCAAGATAAGTGAAGCGATCGACACGCTCAATTACTTCACTCCCTATCATTAGTTCGGGTGTCAATGCAACCCAATCCTGAAGCAACATTTCGCATTTCGAGGGGGAGAATCGCATCCCGAACATGCTTGCATTGTTGCTTAGAGTGGTCATAAGACTCTGCATTTTGTCAGCGTCTTCACCAAATAAAACTATGTCATCAGCATATTCTAAGTCAACAAGTGAACCTCCTGGTAGAAGTTCAACCCCTGGAAATCTAGACGTGGAAAGTGTTATCTGTAAAAGTACGTCAATGACAAAGTTGAACAAGAATGGGGAGAGTGAACAGCCCTGACGAACACCACTTGAGGTAATCAATTCTGATGACAGTTCGCCATAAGCTCTCACTCGACCATTTGTGTTCGAGTAGAGAGCCTGTATAAGGTTGTTTTTAGTACACATACTACTTCTTACCATAAAATAAAATATGTTATTCTTATGCAGCACATTTACGGGTGCTCTACAACGCACTAAGTAATTTTGTGTGCTAAGAATATATAAGGCTATCTAGTATTTTGTTATTGTATGTTAATTCTTTCTTTAAAGAATAACCTCAATGAGGTCTTTCTGATTGGTATTTCTGCATCGACCTTCAGTGTCATCTGATTGGTTTTTATAGCTTCTAGTTTGCGGACTTTTATATGTTTCAAGGTCATTATATGTTACTACAAAAAAGTTATTCGTTTTCAACTTCTGACTTCGCTTCGGAATATAAAGCCATCCTGAAAGTCTCATGTATATTTCATATTAGCATGTGGATTGTTAACGTTAAAGTGTTGATGTGTGTCAAAAGTTTGGTGTATTCGAGTTCCTATCTATTCGTAGGTAAAATTTACCATAGACCAATCGTTATTATCATCATATAACATCATATCGTAAATAATGAGCGTTATTTTCATGTTTGTTGCTTCGTTCGGTCATGAAGATTTATCTTCATGATCACTGTTCAGAAGCAGTCCAAGAAAAACTTGACATACTAAGTAAGAAAGTGTTTATATTCAGTATTGTTCTTATGTCTATGCAATCAATTGCAAAATTGACGTAAGATGTATTCATTTATGTGTTAATTGATATATTACACCGGTTAGTCAATAGTTTTACTGATCAAATTGGCAAAAATTGATAGGTTAGAATAGTAATACAAGACGTTTGATTGTACACCGTGTGGTTATGCATGGATTTCAAACAACTTCTTTCAGGATAATTTAAAATTAATGAATATTAAACAGTGAGTGTAGTAATGACGGGTGTAAAAGTCTTTAGTAGTCTTTATAGTATAACATTTAGCGTTTGTGTACAGATCAAAGCAAAAAAGGAGATTTGACAAACATAAAATTGTCTTTATCATATAAACTGTTAGCTTATATAGAAATACTAAGTATGCTATGAATATTAGCGTGAAAGATAATACAAAATAGTACGTGTTGTGAGTTTATGTCCGGCTTTTATCACGTGATTTATCCACCAATCAAAATACGACTTATACAATCTTAGCACTATGCCAAACCAATGACGTTCGACCGGTATGAGCAGTCTAGCGTCCTTACCGGTCCTATTGTAGTGAAGGAGAACACGGGTGAGGACAACCAAATTGTATTTAGCACAAATTACAGAATTACTTGGTAAAATAGGAAAACCATATAGTAAATCGTTAATTTGCAAAATATCATCCCATCATATCAAACCGAACTGTTGCTGCTGCAAACATCAATCCATTGTCTCACATTTCATTGTTCATGCGATTTCTTACAAATTCGCTCTTCCTTTCTTGATCTTCTCCATCTTCTGCTGCCAGACATTACGTTCTTTTAACTCACGTTATATACTACTTATATCAATATAAGTAGCACGCACCACACTATGTTCGCCTAGCCCGTCCACTTGAGTCCAGAACACCAATACCAGCTTTCACTATGCGAATCGAATAATTTATTTCAGACATACTGGGTTTATATGCCAATCAAGCAGATCGCAACGCACCATAAAATAGGAAATAACATTTGTCCCGACCGAAGTTGCTACCTTGACGCGGTGGCCGGGCTTGCCTATCGTGATGACCCAACCGAGCTATATTGGCTGGAACATATGTTCCTGTAGGTTCTACCATGCCAGGCAGGTCGATTGGAGAACGGTAAGACTAAAAGCAGCAACTCAAGGTCTGAGGGCGAAGTCGTACTGCTGACTGTAGAGGGGTGTGACAGCAGTAAGGTGTTTCCCTCGGACAACCAGCATGACAGCGATGCTGCCTTCCCACAAGGAGGGGTGGGGTTAGAAAAGGTCGACCCTAAAAATGTCACACCTCACCTTACCTCACGGATTTCCGTCTCCGGCGGTAAGGCCCTTTGAAGAACGGAGCTAACACGTTAAAAACCTTCCACAAAAAGGCCGTGCGCGACCGGCCTCAAGCAGTTGTCCCTTGGGCTCTGCGGTCACGCTCCCAGGTCGTCAAGACCAACACTAATCCAATTTCCTTTTCAGGTTCCTCAAGAAATACCCTTCCACGGTGTGGGCAGCCGGGAAGTGACATCAGCCCTCATACCCGTAACAGCACAAGAGACCAAGTTGGTCACATTCAAATCCTTCCTACACCTCCTAATACCTCTCTTATCTCCATGACTAACCCTCCTCACGTCTCTTTATCACCTCGCACCGCTAGGGCAAACGATTCGAGTACGTGGAACGCCATTCCTGGTCTCCTGAAACCACGCTCTAAACTACACGTAGGAGCTTTTAACGTACGAACACTTGCCAAATAGGACAGCAGGCTTCCTTAGCTAACTTTAGAATCTCGCGCCATCGATGTGTGCTGCGTCTCCGAAACGCGCATACAGGATCCGAGTAGCGTCATTCATTTGACCTCACCATGCCAAAATAAAGAACCGACTCGATTTACGCTTCGTGTATCTGGAAGCCCTGATTCTGCTTCCCGTGGCCTCGCCGGCGTAGGTATAGCATTGAGTCCTAGGGCAGAACTAGCTCTCTTAGAGTGGATCCCAGTAGACAGTCGTTTGTGCGCTGTCCGACTGAACGGAACAGTAAGAATCCGGAAAGATAGGGACACTCGTCGTTGCCTCTTCGTCGTCTCTGCCTATTCTCCCACTGACTGCAGCTCAGATGATGTAAAAGATGAGTTTTACAGAAAGCTTTCGGACCTTCTCCGAAAAGCTAGGCGCTCGGATGTAGTAATAGTGGCCGGTGACTTTAATGCTCAAGTAGGTAAACTAAGCGATAGGGAAAGACACCTAGGTGGATCTTATGGTGTCGTGGCTCAAAGAACAGATAATGGCGACCGTCTGTTGCAGCTATGCTCAGATAACCGCCTGTTCCTTGCAAATACTAACTTTAAGCATAAGGAAA